GACATGAGCCAACAGTGTGACATGGCAGCTAAAAAAGCCAATGCAATTCTGGGCTGCATCAATAGGAGTATAGCATCTAGATCAAGGGAAGTAATAGTGCCACTGTATTCTGCTCTGGTCAGACCTCACCTGGAGTACTGTGTCCAGTTCTGGGCACCACAGTTCAAGAAGGACACTGACAAACTGGAACGTGTCCAGAGGAGGGCAACCAAAATGGTCAAAGGCCTGGAAATGATGCCTTATGAGGAACGGCTAAGGGAGCTGGGCATGTTTAGCCTGGAGAAGAGGAGGTTAAGGGGTGATATGATAGCCATGTTCAAACATATAAAAGGATGTCACATAGAGGAGGGAGAAAGGTTGTTTTCTGCTGCTCCAGAGAAGCGGACATGGAGCAATGGATCCAAACTACAAGAAAGAAGATTCCACCTAAACATTAGGAAGAACTTCCTGACAGTAAGAGCTGTTTGACATTGGAATTTGCTGCCAAGGAGTGTGGTGGAGTCTCCTTCTTTGGAGGTCTTTAAGCAGAGGCTTGACAACCATATGTCAGGAGTGCTCTGATGGTGTTTCCTGCTTGGCAGGGGGTTGGACTCGATGGCCCTTGTGGTCTCTTCCAACTCTATGATTCTATGATTCTATGATTCATCTTGTGTCATTCTTAATCTTCGATTATGGCTTTGTATTTTGTTCTCTTTTATTGTCTATACATTTTTACGGTGAACTGTCCTGGGAAATGTATTATGAGGGGTAGCTTGCAAATGTTCAAAATATATTAGAAATAGATAAAATATTTGAATCCAGTCCTTTTGGTACAAATGTAAACTTTTAGTGCTGTGACTACTAATGAGCAGCAAAGTGTCTCCAGGAAATTTATTTATACCTCTCCAAGTATGCCCCACAGAGGACCTTAAGGTCCATAAATAACAACACTTTGGAGGTCCCGAGCCTCAAGAAGGTTAGATTGGTCTCAATTAGGGCCAGGGCCTTTTCAGCACTGGCTCCGACTTGGTGGAGTGCTCTGTCACAAGAGACCAGGGCCCTGCGGGATTTGACATCTTTCCTCAGGGCCTGCAAGACGGAGTTGTTCCGCCTGGCTTGGACCCCTTATATGGGATTTGGTATATAAATTTTCCGTTGGCTTTTTTGCTGGCCCATGTAGGACCAGCATGGATAGCTGGCTCGGGGGAATATCTGATGTTTCCTCCCATTATGGTCTTGATTTATGGGCTACTACTAAAATGAGGCTGCATTTTAAGCTGTATTTTAATTAACTGTGCCCCCCATTACATTTTATTGTAATTTATATTCAGTGTTTGCTGCCCTGAGCTGGGCCCTGGCTTGGGATGGCAGGGTATAAATAAAAAATTATTATTATTGTTATTATTATTATTAGTAGTAGTATTTAAATTTGTATACTGGCAAATACTTGTAGGTCTCTGGGCCGTTCAAATCAAACATGGTGGAAATAGCCATCCCCTGCAGCTTATCATCAGCATCTGGTTTTCAGATACATTTCCCCCAAATTTAGTAATCACAGCTATTAATTCCTCACAGATCTATAGTTGATGAATTTGTGTGTTCCTTTTTCAAATGTTTCTAAACTAACGGCCATTGTGATTCAAGGACCCGCCACCCGCTTGGAGATAAGAAAGACACATGGACACAGTATATTAGGTTAATGGGCTAAAAAAGGCCACAACTTTATTGATTACAGCATGTGAGAGGTATTGGTTTAGGCATTGGATAAAACAATAGAGCATGACTCCAACCCCTCTGGGAGGGGTGAGTATAACAAGGGTTAACCACCAGGGGGAGGAGCCTGTTGATGCAAATACAACTGAAAGCTCTGCAAACCGCTGATGATTCCTCTTCCCTTGAGGCACTCCACTCAGAAATCTGCTGCCAAGACAAAATACTTGAGCCCCTGCTTCCCTGCAGGAACGGCTCCTCCTGGCTCTCACTGCCCACGCTCCCAAACCAACCGAAAAACAACAAGCTCCTCCAGAGGTCTTGATCCGATGAAAACCAGCAGCGGAATGAAAGGGAAGTGCTGCCGCGGCCACATTTGAGCTTCAAAACCCCGCCCCCACCTGATTGATTGGCTACCTGGGGGCGTGGCATGGCAGCCAGGTCAGCTGGGCAGGGACTGGAATGCCCCATGCCAACGAGGGAAACGGCTCCTGCTCACAACTCCTCCCCTCTGTAAGGAGGAGAGGCTTTGCCACAACTTCAGAAAATGAATTCCACAGGCATTAGGAAATACGCATTAGGTCAGGAAGCTCTTCCTTTTGTTCACATTGAACATAGTGCAAGTTAAATTGCATGAACTCTACCACCATCTACGGATGGATGAGAAATTTGATCCAGTTCACGTTTAAAGTCCAATTTACCTAATTTGGATTTGCCGAAGCAAGTGAACTGAAAGACAGCCATTCTTCAAAATTAACAGATATCTGGATGTTTGAATGCTTATGTAACTGCATATGTTGGTGGAAAATAACACTTAAAAATCCATTATATTGGAGAACATTGCTTTGCAAAAAACCCTCCCCAAATGTGTGCATTAGGCAACCTGCATACAAACTATGTAAATTGGGGCAATTTTATAAGGAATTTTTAATGTTTATTTTTTTCCTTCTCTTTATTAAATTAATAATTCATCATACATAAATAATCATAAAAATGTGCACCCCATCACTGAGACTATTCCATTATAACTCTCCAACCTTCCAAAATGTCAGCACCTCTTGCGCTGATTTAACCCCTTTCCATTTTAACAATACAAATTCTACGAGCACCCTTCATATCTCTTCAAAATCATTTCTCCTACATATTCCCCGTCTCACCATAACGACACATTTTAATTTATCGTTAATAGCTATATCCCAAACCTCTTTGTATCATTCTTCCATTTTATATTCTGCTTGTCCCTTCCACTTCCTAGATATAATACTTCATGCGGCTGTCAATAAATTTGTGAGCAAGTCCTTCATAGCCTGTGAACCTTCCACCCCATCATAAATTGATAATCATGCTACCTCTGGACTTTTGGTCAGCTTTAACCCCGTGATTTCTGCTATCTCTTTATAAGGACTTTTAAAGTTTACAAACTGATGTGAAAACATGGAGAACTGAACTTATGTCTGGCAAAATAAATAAAAACCCTGAGAGAAATTGAAATGGACACTCACCTATTTTTAAGCTTCGCCCCAGTCCTAGCTAGCACTTTGAATTTACAAAGCTCAGTTATGTTCCCATTGAGTACATTGTCTTTTTGTAACCTATCAGATTTAAATAAAGAGCGTGGCCTGTCTTCATAGGAAAGATGCTCCAGTAAAGGAACACAGGAAAGTATCTCATACAGAGTCAGACCATTGCTCAGTTTCTGTTGACTGGCACTGGGGTTCTGTTAAAACCCATTTTCTCACAAATTTTGCCCTTGCTCACAAAAAGACACAAACAGCCCAGTTGCTGGAGACACCAAAGATCAGGTAGAACAGCAGTTTGGGAGGGAACTAGGGAGTCAATCAGCTATGCAAGCTGAAGCAAGGACAAGGAAGCCTCACTCAAGGCTGTCTTAAGCATATGCGGTGCCAGGGGTGCAAAGATCCACCTGGCGCCCCCTGGAGGTTGCCCAGTCCCAGGCGCGCAGGAGGGCAGAGCCAGCCAACTGCCTCAGCACCTCGCTGGCTCGGTCGCCCCTGAACTCGCAGTGCAGAGCCACCTGCAGCAGAAGAGCCCATCATGGCGCTACAACCAGGGGCAGACTCACCTCTCGGGCCCCGGCCTCTTGGCCTGGCGCCCCTGAGAGCCTGTGCCCAAGTACCCCGCACCCCTAGCGCCTATGGGTAAGACGGCCCTGGCCTCACTCCTTGTCAGTGTAGGCCAGATGCAGAACTTTTATCAATGCAAGAATGTATTGCACTGGCATTGCCAGTGTTTTCTAAGAAGCAGTAGGCAAGTAGATAAGCCCCAATAAGGCCCCCCTGTAAGGCTAGCACCTTAAAGTAGCAGGCGTAGGCTCAGTATACCTGAAGGAGCATCTCCACCCCCATCACTCTGCCTGTACGCAGAGATCCAGTGCTGAGGGCCTTCTAGTGGTTCCCTCACTGCGAGAAGCCAAGTTACAGGGAACCAGGCAGAGGGCCTTTTCAGTAGTGGTGCCCGCCCTGTGGAACACTCTCCTATTATATGTCAAAGAGATAAAGTTTAATGTGTTTAGTTTTGAGTTTAGGCTGTGTTTTGCATTGTTTATATATTGTATTTTTTTTCCTTTTTGCTTTCCTTCTTTGTCCTTTTTTCTGTTTTTTTTCTCTTCTTTTTTCTCTTTTTGTAATCTATAAAAGTAATAAACATTTTTTTTTTAAAAAAAGAGATAAACAACTACTGGACGTTTAGATCAGATCTGGAGGCAGCCCTGTTTAGGAAAGTTTTTAATGACTCATGTTTTATTGTATTTTTAATCTTTGTTGGGAGCAGCCCAGAGTGGCTGGGGAAACCCAGCCAGATGGGCGGGGTATAGATAATTTATTATTATTATTATTATTATTATTATTATTATTATTATATCATTTTTATTGATTTTCCAATAAAAAACATCCAATTAATATATCCAATCATAATACTCCAACAATTAAATTAAATTAAAATAAAATAAAATAAAAAGACCAAATTTTAATAAATAATAATAATAATAATAATAATAATTATCCAATGGGCTTTCGTCAACCACACTCTGAAGATGTTTGGGGGCTTCTAATTGGAGTCTGTGTGTATTCTTTGTTTGTAAACCCTATAAAAAGTTTTAGTGGACAAAAGCCAGGGTTCAGCTTTTGGTAATTATCCCGCTGAATCAATTGTGTTGCGCAACCCAATAAAGGCGTTGGACTCTCTCCCCTCACGTCTCCTGTGTCTAATGGACAAGATCCAGGAAGAGCAGGGGTTTGCCTGCATCAGCAGGAGTCTCCAGGATTTCTGACAGGGGGCACTGCCAGTCCAGCAGGAGATGCCAGGGATTTAACCTGAGTCATTCTGGATGCAAATCATGCGCTCTACCACTGAGCTTACTTGCAGCTCTTCCCCTCGCCGATAATTTTAATTACAATGCTTTGGTCTTTCCCCCAGCTCTGAGATGCTCTCTTAAAAGTTTTTTTCCATGATAACTTGGTCCTCTGTAGCAAGTAAATAACACCCCCCCATTTGAAAACACAGAGCTGTTTGAAGAGCCACTGCTTTTTTGTAAACTGAGATCCTGCTCAGTTCCATGTATTCATTTGAAATTATCTCCTACCCAAGACATCTCAAATGCCTTCAGAACATCTAAGAGCTGCACATATTTTGGCACATCAGATAGGGATGTTTGAAAATTACACGACTGTAATTTCATTATATTTTTAGAAATTATGTTTCAGGTAGGTGAAAAATGACTGAGAGGGAGAGGAAATTTGTTTGGTGACCTTGCTCTGCCTGTCTGAAGTGACTGGAAGTGTTTGACTTTCTTTTTTTCCTTCCTGCAACTTTTAATTAATGGTGCAGGTACCGCGGTTGACCCGCCTGCTTTTTAAAACTGCTTGTGGGGGGGGGGAGTCATTTGACAAAGATGAGTTGGCAGTTTTATAAACTGGTAATTGGAAATCAATGTGCTTAAAGCGGTGGGCAGAAAATGTAATAAACAGGCTAGTCTAGAGAGACAAAAGATTATTTGTTAATAGCACAAAAAGGTCAGTACTACAGTAATTAAATTAAACCTTTAAGGTGTTCAAAGCAATACCTGGGAATGGTCCCTGCAGAAGATAAGGGGATTGGAAATGTTGCAGATTGAATTTTATATTTGAGACAGACGCAGATTTATCTTCAACTTTCTCATTGAGGGCTCGTCTCACCCTAATTTTTATTTTACTGTTTCTAGTCATTTTTCATATTTTAAAATAATAGTGTGCTGTCAGCACAGCTGTGAAGGTATATAGATAATACATATCTGCTTTCGAAGGCATATTTTTCACTCCATTTTAATTTCACATAAGCCCCATTCCATCATTATCAGCTCATGTGAGTAACCTCACATGAGAGGGAGCAAGGAGCTCTGCTCTTTGGTCTCACCTGCTGTCACATTCTCATTCACCCTGCCCACCCTGCCCACATATTGGGGGAAGATGATTGGAAACATGGATCTTTGGTACATACACAGGCTCACCACACAATTTAGCACTCTGTATGATCAGAGTTTCAAGGAGGTAGGCGACCAGTGTCGAAGCAATGATTCTTCAACATCAACTTGGTTGGACTGGTCATGGTGTGCAGATGCCTGATTACCATCTTCCAAAGCAACGACTTTATTCCAAATTTAAAAATGGAGAGTGTAATACTGGTGGTCAACACAAGAGGTTTAAAGACTCTCTCAAGGCAAATCTTTAAAAATGTAGTATGACCACTGACAACTGGGAAACACAGACCTGTGAGTGCTCCTTCTAGGTCCCTGGTGTCACTATTCAGAATACAGACTCAAAGATTTGTTATGGAAATAAAGAGGGGGCACTTATTGGAAATCAGTTTTGTCACCTTCCCCCCCCAAACCGCCTGAGACGATGAGCCCAGCCACCTTTTATTTACAGTCACATAAGTACTACACTACAGCATGGCCATAAACATGTACATTCAACCACTGAAATATATACCCAATATGTAGCAATGGAGATTTATGTTACTGCTTTATCAATGAACGTTGTGTTTTATGACTGGACTCTGTATTTTGTGAATTACCTAAGAGCCACCGATAGGGAGCTCTAGAATCTGACAGCTCACCACTTGGTACTACCGAACAGCGACCCCTATTGCTGAAAGCAGGTAACCAAATTCAATACCTTGCTACGCAAATACAGTTATCACAATACACAAAGCGCAACAGGCTGAATAATAACAACTGTAATATTTTATTGGTTATTTCCTAATGTAAAGGTCTAGCCCAGTATGTGCAACATATACAGTTCATATGTGTTATACAGGAACTTACAAGAAGAAACAATAAGAAAAGATAAGAAAAGAAGAAATGCGTTAATATTGGAATTAGTCTCATAGGTTATATACCGTACATATGAACTGTATATGTACAGTATATAACCTATTATTCAGCCTGTTGTACTTTGTCAGTTGTGAAAGCAGGTAACCAGCAGGGAATGCTTCAGCTCAGCCTTTGCACTGTTGACTGAACACCCCCTGCTGTGCAGATAATGGAGAAAGCTCATAAATTGTATCCCTATTGGCATCCTGGCCAACTCTATTATGCTGATGTAAACCCTGGTGCACCAGAAGCCCAGAATAGCAGCAAATAAAATCCGCTCATACGTCAGCAACTGATAAGACTTGTCAACCAGTTCTTCCAAAGTCTCCCTAAATTATAAAGCTCCAAAATACAGGCCAAAAGAGAACATGTCTGTGAAGAGTGAGGCATACTATGGGCACCACTAGTGAAAATGCCCTGCTCCGTGTAGCTCCTGCCCTGTCATTTGATAGGGTGCCTACTTGCCCTCCTCCTTGACATGGAATGCTCTCTATTGAAGTCTCCAGGTCCAGTACAAAGACCATAAGAAGGGAGAGCAGGGACATTGAAGTTCCCAACAGCTGTTAATCAAGCAAGCAAGCACACAGGTCACCTTAGTCACAGTCAGGACGTCTATGTCTTGTTTTTGTACAATCTTGTTTGCTCTCAGTAACCAAAATCATATTATCAACATATACAAGCAGAAAAGTTGTTTTCCTTCGTTTGCAAGGAATTGTACAAAACAAAGTGGCACTAATAAAGAAAAGTTCCAGGGTGGCAACAGAAAGCAAACTAAAAATGCTTTCACAGTTCATCAAAACTATCCAGCAATCTCAAGTTATAGGAAAACTGGTGCTATAAAAAGTAACCCTTCTAGTTGGTTTGGCAACTTCCATGCACATGGCATGTGATGCTAATTATTTCCCCAAAGAGTTAAATGATAACTACAGTTGCAAATGGCAACAAAATATCTGTGAAAGGAAGAGGAGCAGGTTTGCTCAAGTGTGTTGCAGGTAGAAAACCTGTTTGTAATGAAGTGAGAGCAGTAGTTTACTTGCTCGAATTAACAAATAAGAAAGTTTTGAGAATTTAAATTCTAGATTAAAATTGATTGCTTAATTGAGAAGGGGATTGTAAGAAAAACACTGGGGCCTAAATTGAATAATAGAGTGCCTGGTATCTGGTGGGCAATCTCATCCTTTATTTCCACACTGTGGCTGCAGACCAAAGCATTCGTCAGGAGAGCTATGAGATTCAGATGAGGGTCAGATGCCTTGTCAATCCCAGCAGCTATATAAGAGGGAGACTGCCCTGGCCAGGCCTCCACCTGGTGGGACAGAGCAACAGGAGCACACCCTGCCACGGGGATTCGAACCGCCGACCTTCCAATCCACAAGCCCAAGAGGCTCAGTGATTTGGACCACCTGCACCCCTTGGCTACTTGCATATACTCTTCCTTCATTATTTCCAATTTCTTCCACTTCTTATACATGCCCTTCTTAAATCTCTGCTCATCTGCAAGCTCTCTATGCAGCCACACCAGTTTCTTCAGATGCCTCCCACTTTTTTTCTTGTTGGAATTGTCTGCATGTGTGCCTTCAATATTTTACCTTTAAGAAACTTCCAACCATCTTGGACTCCTCTTTGAGTATTTCTGACATGAGGGAAGATTGGATAATTATAAAATATTTAAGGAAGGAAAGAACTCAATGAAATATGCATTTCCCATAAAAGCTGGGGGAGATGCATTTCATGATGAAATGGGCTTATTAAGAGCTGTGGGCTTGAAAAGGATAGCATTTCCTTGCCAAAATATTGATTGCCTAAAATAAACAGAGCATAAAAAGCAGATGTTCCATTGGAAGAGTAATGAGTGAGAATCATCAATGAGATTTTCACACAATAAGCAACTTTTAATTCTGGGAGGACATTTTACCTTCACTAAAACTGTAAAAAAAGAGGGCTTTTTAAAGAAGTTCTTTTTTTTATCAAAGTAGTTTTTATTCACAGAATGAAAATTGGACTCAATAGTGCGTAGCATCCATGGAACTTAACTGGACAAAGCAGTTTTCACTGGCAAAGTGTCACCTTTAACAATATGGAAAAGCTTTGCAATAACAAACTAAACTGCAGCACCTATAAAATACCATATGCCTACAAGATTGCACCAGAATAAGTGGTGCTAATGAGCAATTAAGCTGATTCAGGAAATGTTTGTATGAACTTCTCTCAAAGAAGATGCATTTTAGAAGCTTGCAGACTTTCACCACTGTATCTTCAATGAAAAGATGCCATTTCAGGAATTTGTATGGAGAGAAACAGGACTTCCTTCTGTCTGCATGACAAAGTGTTACCCAAAATATGTGTGCTCACAACAACAACAACAACAACAACAACAACAACAACAACAACAACAAATCTTTATTACCGCTGTAGACCAGCGAAAGGAGGGAGGGGTACAATAATTTAAAATCTAAAAAACGTTTTAAAAACTAAAAGGAGTTAAAACAGAAAGTATTTATAGAAGTCTGTGAGAATCCAGAAGAAGCTAAGAGAGTCTAAAAGGAGGTTTAGGAACATTAGACAAGAGTGGAAGAGCGTAAAAGGTTAGTATATATAAGACTATGGCTCTTAATCTACAGAGCACTCTGATATGAGTGCTCATTAAATCTAGTTTGTGGTACAGGTCATCATCTGACGAATTTTGAGTGCTACTGTGCAGAATCTGGCAGCGTTGTATGTTGTAGCAGGGTTGGTATCTGAAAGCAGCAGGGAGGTATAGAATTGTCCTGGACACCCTGGGTACTTATGCAGTAATGGTAAGATGAGGCTAGTACAGATGTCTCTATAATAAAGACACTGGAGAAGCACAATAGAGAAGCTCTACTGCTTCCATTTGTCCAGAGTCATAGGGGCATTGTCTCTCCTGGTACTGCTTACATCTTTTTCTATGTTTCCCCACCTACATTTGTTCCCTACTATCGCAGGAAGGAATAAGCCTAATTTAGCTTGGTTAAGTGCACACTTACACTTTT